CTCCTGCACATCAATGTTTCTCCCCTTGTCTTTCTCCCTCCCTTCCCCGCTTGCTAAAAACAAACAAAATCTTTTAAAAAAATAAATACATAAATATTTACAACATCAAAATTATGTAAATTTGGACTCCAGTAATCAAGGCAAAGGAAAAATAACAGATGTGCAAAGGTTAGCTATTAAGAACATATAAAGCTCTGGCTGGTGTGGCTCAATGGATTGAGTGCCAGCCTGAAAAGCAAGAGATCACTGGTTCAATTCCCAGTCAGGGCACATGCCTGGGTTGCAGGCCAGGCTCCCAGTAGGGGGCGCATGACAGGAAAACACATTGATGTTTCTCTCCCTTTCTTTCTCCCCCTCTAAAAATGAATAAATAAAGTCTTAAAAAAATAACATGTAAGAAGTTTGAGACATAATAAAAAAAGTATGGAACATAAGTGATGGATTTAACACACACATTTATTGAAACTCTTTTCCAAATCTCTGCTAAGCAATTGTAAAGGAGTGTTTTTAAAGCATGAATTTTTTAAGAAAAAGAGAACAGAAGAAAAAAACAACAGCAACAAAATTCCGGAAGAAGATTCATCTATTTAGCAGACTAGTAAAAGCTGAATTCCTAGGCCAGCAGTAGAAAAAGCCAGGAAGTAACCAGAATCACACCATAGAACCACCAAGTCCAAATAAAGATTCAGGACTTGGCAGCAGCACCAGGTAACTCTGGAAGCAGCACTAGGTAACTCTGGAAGGGTAAAGCTAAAAACAGGAGGTCTGGTTGGAAATTCATTTAAGAAGTAGTTCAATTCCCCCAATCCTCTCTCCCTGATCCACCTCCACCCTAGAGAGAGTAAAATAAAGCGTTCCTGAAATGGAGGACAAGAGGCACAGTTATCAGAAAGTACCACACTGAAAACAGAGAGACTAAATGAAAATTTATATATTAAATGGAAGCTGTACCTGCCTCTCAACACCCCAGTCCTCTTCCATCAACAGACTTCTAGAACAATGACAGCCAACAGACAGGAGATTAAACATTTTTCTGGGGGACCTAACCAAACTGAGACAAATTAAGATACTGACACTAGGAGATGCCCAAAATGGCCTGGCAGATCACACTACAGTGAATCCCGGAAACAGCAAGAACCAAGTACCAGGTCAGAATTTCTAATCCGTTTTCTGGTATTTCTTTCTTAAGTGGACAATCAAGGATTAGCAGATACTTGAAGAAAGCCTCTAAGGTGGAAATCAAACATCAAAATCTATTTGAAGAAACAGTAACTATTCCACAGAAGAGAAAAAAACTATTTTTTCAAAAAACCTATTTATTACTATCTTAGAGAGAAATGAATATGAATATAACCATAAAATGGACAAAATGCTACTTTAAAGAGAGAGAGATAAAGGAAATTCAGAGGAAAAGTTTTGAAATTAAAAACCTAAGAGTAAAAAGTAGTAACTGAGAGAAAGGTTAAGAGATTGCTGAACCCAGCAAATCACACTCCTGGGTATATATAAGAAAAATAAAAACATACGTCAACACAAAAACTTGTGCACAAATGTGCATAGCAGAATTATTCACAATAGCCAAAAAAGGGGAAACCCAAATGTCCAGCAACGGTTAAATGGATGACTAAGATATGGTATATACATAGTGTAGTAATTCAGAATAAAAGAAATGAGGTTTTAACATACCACAACATGAATGAACCATGAAAAAATTATGCTAAATGAAATATACTAATGACAGAAGACTATGTATTATATAAGTCCTCTTATACGAAATGTCCAAAATAAGCAAATCCATAGAAACACAAAGTAGATTAGTAGTTAGTTGACTAGGGGTGGGAGAAACGAGAGTGGCTGCTAATGGCCATGGGGTCTATTGTGGGGAGAGAGGGGAGGGAAGACAGAAAATGAATAACTGCACAACTTTGTGAATGTACTAAAAGCCACTAGATTGTACTTTAAAGGGGTGAAAAATGTAATACATGTATTATATCTTAATAAAGCTATTTAAAAATAAAATGGTAGTTGAGGAAATCACCCAGAAAGTTGAACAAAAAAAAAGAGATAAAGAGAAAAAATAAGGGGAAGAAATTAATGAATTAAATGTTTGTCCCTGAGTCTCTGAACTGAAGGACCTGAGTTTCTACACTGAGAGAGCTTACCATTTCCCCAATACAATGAATGAAAATAGTTCTATGCCAAGAGTCTGGAAATTTCAGAACACTATGGACAAAGAGATAATCCTACAATATTCCAGTAAGGAAAAAAAGATCTCATACATTAAAGATAAGAATTGGACTAGCTGCTCACTTCTCAACAGCAACACTGGAAATTTGAAAATAGTGGAGCAATTCTTTCAAAAAGTTTAAAGGAAAATTATCTTCAACCAACAATTCTAATACTCCTAAAAACTATGAATAACACACAACAGTAGAGAGCATGCTACTAAAGAATGTCCTCCACCCAAATGAGGGAAAAGCCATGCAAGAAGACAAAGAGCCCAAGAGGAATCCAATATAAAGACAGGTAAGGACAACAGTGGAGGGGAGATGACAGTTATGCATCAGTCACAGAAAGCAATAATATAGATTAGAAATCAGAAGGCTCCAAAAGAGGTTTCTGGAAAACGACAAAGTTTGAGGCTCTGAACAGCCTGAAAGGAGATTTTGATAATTAGTAGAAAGCCTAGGGTTAATTTAGTGAGAAGCAGATAGAAGTTTAAACAAATAAAAAAAGATAATCGTCAATTTCAGAGAAAAGAAATTATGCAAACATGGAAAAAAAATCACAATATTCCACAGGCACTGCTGTGAATAGTTTATAAAATAGTATTAATAATGATTTAAACAATATTATAACATTATTCTGGAGACAAGGGGAAGTAGTTTTTAAAAACTCTAAATATATGTAAATATAATCAAGAAATATAGAATTATATACATAAATAACAAGAAAAAGCCTAAATAATTGAAAGTGGTTGTCTCTAAGTAGGGTGGGAAGACAGCTTGTTTAAACTATCTGACTCCTTTTTGGCTTTTTTACAAATGCTTACTGTAAAATCAAACCCTGAACATTAAAACTATGTTGTAAAGGTACCCTTCAGAGATTTTTTTAAAGGAACAGAGGAATCTTAAAGAAATATGACTAGGGTTATCTTAGGTTCCAGGGACCTCTGAGTATGTTTAGCATCACTCATTTGTCTCAAATTTTCATTGCCGGTTTTATATCTGCCTCTGAAGGTCATTGGTAAATGTTGAAGATGGGGCAATTTCTTCAATAGCATCTTATTCTTCAAAAAAGTCAGTTTTCCCTTTGTGGCCAGGAATCACTTCTGTAGGTAGTGATACCACAGCTAAGACCTTCATTTCCTTAAAAGCTCTGTTTGGTTACTGATAAATATCAGTAACCAAATATCAGCTGGTAACTGATCTCTAATATTAGCTACCTTTACTGAAAAATTCTCCATGCCATGCATCATTGCCTATAGCTCATCCCTAAATCCTAATGACTCTTTCAAACTATGTATGTTCATGTACAACAGTAATAGAAAAACAAAAGGTAAAGGAAACGGTATTTGATGACTGACCATTCCCTTCATCATTAGATAACCTTATCTTTACCCTTTCACTGCCAGCAATGACTAACCCTTATGGAGTATTTTCCACATGCAAGACACTATCCTGGATACCTTATATATTAAAGTATATTACATCATTTAACCTTCACAAGTACCTTGTTAGGTAATATTAATATCCCCATTTGATCTGATAAGGAAAATGAAGCTCAGTTTCATTGGGTCACAAAGATAGTACGGGCAGAGCCAGCTGTTCTTAACCACTCCACCAAATCACTTCTAATGACTTTCATAAAACAGAATTTTCAGCAAAATGAACATTTTAAAACTCTAGACGGCAATTCAATTTCTTTCTTCCTACTGTCTCTTCCTCATCAAATTTATGGTGAATCACTATTCATTTTTAAAAATAAACTTTCATAACAACACCTGTAAACTGAAAGGCATGAAAGTTCTTCCAATACTAAAATAATTTCCCCACTTAAGATCTCATAAGAACGGGCATTTAGACTGAATATATAATATAGCCACTTAGATTTAAAGACCTTCAATTCACTATAAATAAAACTTAAACTTCACTTTTTAAATATTTAAATTTAAAATCATACAAATGACCGGTGTGGCTCAATGGGTTGGGTGTCATCCTGAGAACTGAAAGGTTGCCAGTATGATTCCCAATCACAGCACATGTCTACGTGGTGAGCCAAGTCTCTGGTTGGGGAGCATGCAAGAGGCAACCAATCAATGATTCTCTTGCATATAGATATTTCTCTCCCTCTCTGTCTCCCTCCTTTCCCCTCTCTCTAAAAACAAATAAAATCTTTTTGAAAATAAGTAGAAATAAAATTACACAAATGAGACTTCAGTTTTTCCTTGCTTTTAGAAGAAAACTAACTTCTCCTTTGAAATCTAAAAACCATCCTGGTAACCTCAGCACAGGAACAATTAAATTATGGTACATCCACTCAAAGAAATATTAGGCAAGCTTTAGAAGGATAATATGAAAATGACATAACATTTAAAAATCAATATGACACAATGTTAACTAGAAAAAATGAGTTATATGTTCATTACAGACAACTTCATTTTTATAAAATGTAGGCATGTAGAAAGATAAAAATGACAAGCAGTTGTATTAAGGTATAAAAATGATTAATGCCCCCTTTTAATTTTGCAGTAACATTTCCAAAAATTTTAAAGACATAGTACATGATTTAAACATTAAAAAGAACACAAGCTGTCCAGTGACTCTGGAAATGTTCTAAGACTAGATTGTGCTGTCTTAGTTACACAACTCTGTAAATTTACTAAAACATCACTAAACTATACACTTAAAACAGGCGAGTTTTATGGTTTATAAATTATACCTCAATAAGGTTAGTCTTTCAAAAATATTAGGAGAAAAAAATCTTTCTACAACACTCACATGAGAGAACTCCGGCTGGGATGGGATAGGAAGTGACCCAGGAGTGAAGACTGGCGTGCTCTGGGACACTGGTGTTGAGGCTTGTGGTGACATCACGGGCTCAGGGGGCACAGGGAGGTTTTCTGTCTCCACTGATTCATCACCTTTGAGTTTCTTCTGAAGAGACTCTCTTCCTCCTTCAGATAACACTGACATGTCCATTGGCTCATCTGGTTTAAAGTATTAAAAACAAATTTAGAAATAAGCGCTCATCAACATTACTCATGTTCCAATACCACTAATAAAAGTTACATTACAGAAACTTCCATTCTTAAAAAACACTGACTTAATTTTCAGAAAAGTTGACAGATGAATCGACTAGGCCCTACAAATCTAGTAATACTTACTTTCTTCCGCAGACTCCCAAAAGTCAGTTACAGATTAAAATGGAGTTCATCTGGGGATAACCACCCATCCACAAGAAATGTTAACACTTAGCTCCTCTGAGACTCTTTCCTGATTATAATTCAGTTTTTCACATTCTGCATAGGAAAGCCCAAATTAATGGTACCTGATTTAACCATCACATATTCTGCCACAGACCAGTGATCTTGTTCACCACTCTACATAAGTATCTATACATTTATGAAATCACTATATTTGCACTAACAATGGCTAAGTGCAGAGAGATGGGTGCCAGGAAAAAAAGCAGGAGAAAAAAAAATATACCAATACCACTCAGCACTGATTTACCAAAACACTAAGTACAAGACCCTAATCTTGAGACATTGCTTAGGAGGGAAACACATGCATGAAACCTATTTTCCCACAGTATATTACCCACCTGAAGGCCATTGGCATCTTCCTCAGAGCCAGCCTGGCTAACTAGGTATTTGATTCATCAACCCTTTTCCCCCTGTCTTACAACTTGACCCCAAACAGGCTTCCTCTAGACCAGTGATTTTCAACAGGTATGCCACAAGAATTTTTCAAACATGCGATACCTGGCTATTCAGTCAGGGGCACTGACCTCTTTTCCCTTAGACTGCCAAGTAAAAAGATGACAACAGCCAATACAACAATAGCCATCAGTGTGAATGCCCTGTCTTGAACCATAAATGTATCAGTCATATATTCGAGTTGCATTTTATTGGTCATGCTGCATAAGGTTACACCTGATTAGTTAACTCATGGAAACAGAAATCCTTATACACAAATGGAGGCACCTGTTATTTTAGAAAGTCACTTTGGAGCAAAAAGGGTAGGTAATTTAATCAAAATTATACCTATTTTGCCCTGGCTGGCGTAGCTCAGTGGATTGAGCGCGGGCTTTGAACCAAAGTGTCGCAGGTTCGATTCCCAGCCAGGGTACATGCCTGGGTTGCAGGCTATAACCCCCAGCAACCACACATTGATGTTTCTCTCTCTCTCTCTATCTCCCTCCCTTCCCTCTCTAAAAATAAATAAAATCTTTAAAAAAAAAAAGAGTTTAAAAAAAGTATTAAAAAAAATTATACCTATTTTTTTGGTCAGATTAACAAAACAATGTATTTTGGGGGTGTGTCACAAAATTTTACTAATTATTGTGTCCCATGAGATGAAAAAGGCTGAAAATCGCTGCCCTAGACCACTCTCACAAACCACTTCTGCCTTGATCTTTCTTACCATGACAAAGCATTTATGAAGGGCCTGCTGTTCTAAGTACTACAAATGAAAAGCTTTAGGTTAATAATCTTAGCAAAAAACAAAAATACAGAAAGCGTGCATAGTCCTACAAACAGTTATATGCAAATATTTAGTAAATATTGTATGTAATAAGCGAATACATTAAATCTAAAATACAATTGACAAGGGAAATAGGTTATTTGAAAACCGAAGTACTCTGAATCATATACATAAAATGATCACAAGTGTGTAAAGATACCTCTTTATATTTATGCATAGAAAATACTCTGAAAGGGGCCCTGGCTGGTATAGCTCAGTGGATTGAGCACTGGCCTGTGAGCCAAAGAATCCCCAGTTCAATTTCCAATCAGGGCACATGCCTGGGTTGCAGGCCAGGTCCCCAGTTGGAGGGTGCTTGAGAGACAACCACACATTGATGTTTTTCTCCTTCTCTTTCTCCCTCCCTTCCCCTCTGTCTAAAAATAAATAATATCTTAAAAAAAAAAAAGAAATACTCTGAAAGGAAATATATCCAAATAGTAATTATAGTTATATCTGGAATGCAGTATCACAAGTGATTTTTATTTTCTTCTCCTTACTTTCCTATCTGCTTTCCAAACTTTCTGGAGTACAGGCACACTTCCTTTTATTGCACTTTGCTTCATTGTGCTTCACAGAGGTTTCAATTTTACAAATTGAAGGCACACCCCACACGAACAGAAAGACTACAACTTACTTTATTATGATACTTTACTGCAATATTCACTTTACTACAGTGGGCTGGAAGTGAACCTGTCATATCTCTGAGGTATGCCTGTTTTAATTACATTTACTGTCAGGGAGAAAGCACTTTAATATAGTTGTTTTTGTATGTTCACACTACAGATAGAAGAAATGGTTCTAAATATAAATCAAATGTAACTTACATTAACAGGAGTTTTTGTAGAAGAGATGCACTTTTATTATTTTAGTAAAGATATCACTAATCATGTTATGCTTAAAATATTAGTTCATTTGAAAACCTACAACTGATTTCAAGAGAAAACAACCAGATACAAAGTTTGTGGCAGAAGAAAGTCTAAGATTAAATTCTGCCATGGGTAAATTACATCTGAAAAAGAGTTAAATATGTTTCTATATTTGTATCACTTAAGAGCAGAGACAGTAGAATATCATAGGAGGTATATACCTGACAGCTGTGGAGTGAAATCTCTCTGTGCCACCATTTCCTCATCTATATAATGGGAATGAAAGTAACACCTACTTCTTAAAATTGCTGCAAAGATTTCATGATAAAAACCAAAAAGCAGCACCTAGAACCAAAAAAGGTCATAGAACAGTGCCTAGGATACACTAAGTATTCAATAAATATTAGCTATTGTACCACTATTAGTGTGAAAGAGAGAAAATCATGGAATTTATTGGAAAGGCTTTGTAGGAATTTAGAAATATCTTTAACCACTGGATAGGAGACTAGAACTGAGCAAGAGGTTGAGATAATGAGATAAGTAAGAAGAAAAACTTTCTTATGAACAAGCTAGGTCCTCAAAGGAAGAAGTGAATGAAGTAAAAATTTCTACCACCTGCTCCTAGACACTCTTTGACAAAAATTTCTTTGATAATAGCAAAAATAACCTATAAAAAACAAAAGAAACAATTTTTGGTTCCCTCTCACCAATAACACATGAACGTGTTGCTGGAAACTACTAGCCATTAGTAATATACCCAGTTCTTCACTATACTAAGTCATTTGAGTTTAAGTTTAAAAACCTAAAAATTTTCCCTTAAAGATCTTTTTACAGAGCCAGCAGTACAGAAAGCTCAAAAGAGTCAGTGAAGAAGAAGTCAGTGCAAGAAGAGTCAGTGTAAGAACTGAGGAGAGCACTTTACACTAGGCCACATCCCTAAAAGTAAAACAGACATGAGTCTTACGGAACAGTTTAGGTCACAGTATAATAACATATAAAGGAAACAGAAAATTATGCAAGGCAGAAGTGCTGCTCTTCTAATCAAAGATCAACAGAGAGATCAAGAGAACTCACCTTTCCTTACTTCTTGCTCTGTGGGGCTGCTAGGAACAATAAATGGGGTAGATTGGAAAGCATCAGGGGAAGGAGCAACAAGATCTGAGGAATTCCTTTATATAAAGAGAAAATCACAGGTTATTTTACCACAGCTACAGTTTTGCATTTATTTACATTTTAATGACAAAAATATCTAAGCCATTCAGACAAATATTTACTAGCATTTCTCTCAAAAAACTACCTGAGGCAGGTGGAAGAGCCATGAATAATATGGTAATAACTATTTCTCAGAGTAGACATATCCAAAATTAGGCCATATTAAGAGAAAGTAAATGATCAGACACAAGGATATGATGGAAAAGCAGATGAGAAAGTACTATAAAAATAACTCATCTACAGATTTGAGACAAAAAATATTTACGACGTTTTTACCTATTATAAAGATTGTGCACATTTTTATTTAAAAAAACAAATCTCTTTGCCCTAACAGATAAAAAAAAAAATCCAACTACTGTCAATTCTAGTATAACCCATTCTCCACCCCTGTTAAATGGGAAGAACTGCTAGTCAAACAAGAGCAGGATACTTGTTTTAGATGCCTAGCAATCTCTACGTACCCGGGCAGTTTCTTCCCTAGTGAAACCTTTGGTCTACTATTATAAAATCTCATAATGGGAAAGCAGACCTACCTACCTTCAATAGTTCCGCTAAGTTCTTACCCTCCAAATTCTAAAACCCAGAGTTTACCTTTTGGTTTCAAAAAGAATGCTGGACTAATGGACAATTTTAGCTCTTTCAGCCCTAGCCTAAAACCCACAGGCACATTTCCCTGGCAGAGCTAATTCAGGCTTACGTACGAGGAAAGGCTCTCCTGAACAAGGGACCTCTGACCAGAGAGGTGCAGGAGATGCAGAGTGGTGGCAGGTGTGGAAGCCAGAGAACAGCCACCTTCTTCCTTTGAAGGAGTAGAGCAACCATCAGAAGCTGTTGAAAAAAAAAAATCTAGTTGCATTTACTTCTCAGATTGACATTACTGAGTTGTCAAAAAAAAAACAAAAAAAACAAGAAAACAAAAAAATACTCCGTACTGCAAAAAAAAGTAACAGGCATTTTTCCAACAATGTTCCAAGAGGGCAGAAACTGTTTTCCAACTGTAGCACAACTGATGGAATGCCATGCTGACACAAATTATGAGGGGTCATTAAATCTCCCCCTCCCTACTAAACTACGGGTTTCTATAATAACAAACTGACAAAAAGAATTCCTTGGTTCTTTCTGTCATGATTGAAGCTTGAAAAGGCCAGAATCCTGATACCTCTGCTTGACTACTCTTCTTTCTGGTGAAGCTTCTATTACAGAACAGCAAGTGAGACTTTTATTTCAAGGTCTGCCTAAGGTGAAGTAAGCTCATGGCATAATATAGAAATGGGGGAAGTCAAATCAATGCATATGACACCTGATCACATGAATGCAGCAATTTTCATGATTAGAACCTGAGCCTCTTAAAAAGGAGACAAAAAAATACTAACACATTAGTAAAAGGATGTATGAACAGCCAATACTGATTTATATTATGAAGAGTTTTCTGTTGGTCCCTACTTAGCAATAGTTGGAGGATCAGCTATATTAATCCCAAATATGAAGGGATTTCTTAAATATCTTATAGTTTCAGTGAGGACCAAAAAAGATTTCTTAGTAACCCTTTGAATGTCTTACACACAATCACACCTCAGTAAAGGAACAGAACCCTCTCTTCCTTCCTCCTTACAACCAACACATTAGAGCAGGTCCTCCAATAATACCATTTCATTCAACATTATTTCATTACTACATTGGTGAGATGTCCTATGAACTTAACTCTTGTTTATATCAACTAGCCTATGCTAAAATTGGTTTTGTTACACATTGTTTCACTTAAAATCACAGAACCTATCAACATTGAAGACTTAATGTATATTTTCACTAGTTATTACTGAAGCTTTCTGACTCTGTAGGTGACAGAATGGGGGACTGTGAGGGTTAACAATATGTGAAAAAAATACCACTCTAGTCTTCTAAGTTTTACCTTCTTTCTGCTAAACCACAACTTCCTATTTGTGGTAGATGAACTAACAAACAGATGAGTAAGTTCACTGTAATCCAGGTGAATATGAAAAACTTATACCTGATTATATTAAAGATTTGGAGACCTATGATGGCAGAAATAGCTAGTCTGTCCATAATTATTAAATTTACTATATTAGCTATTATTCCTCAATATCTCCATTTCCAAAAGAGCGAGAAAATTAAAATATTAAATAGCAATCATTCCCAAAAAGCCCTTCTCATTAATCAGCTAGAAACATACTTTCCTTCCATATCCCAAACAAGTCTGCATACCAGCCCCAGTCCAGATGGCTCAACTGGTTGGAACATCGTTGCATACACCAAAAGGTTGCAGGTTCAACGCCTAGTTAAGACACATTACCTAGTTTGCTGGTTCAATCCCCTGTTGGGGTGCACACAGGAAGCAACCAATGTTTCTCTCGCATCGATGTCCCTCTCTCACATCAATGTCTCTCTCTCTCTCTCAAATCAGTGGGTATATCCTCAGGTGAGAATTAAAAAAACAAAGTCTGCATACCATAAACTGTCTTCTAACTTAAACAGTAATCTCAAAACAGAAATAAAAAGTTTATAACTTTGAAGAAGAAGAGCTATACAGCAACTAATTACTCTTTATTTTTTGTGTGTTTTTTTCATTTGAGAGAGAGAAGAAGGGAGGGAGAGACAGAGAAAGAAACATCAATTTGTTGCTTTTCTTACTTGGATTAATACATAATCCACATAAATATATGTATTAATAGGCTGATTCCTGTATGTGCCCTGACCAGGGATAAACCTGAAACCTTGGCATATCAGGACGACACTACGCAAATGAGTACCCGTCCAAGGCCACAACCAATTTACTCTTTATACCTGTTTTATTGCTCTGGTCAAACAAGTCTTCCTGAGTCGACAAAGCCTCAGGCTCTGGTGACTTCTGAATCTGCAGTCCATCTTTCAGAAGTTCTGGAGCAGATGTTTGTTCTTTTGTTTCCACTGCAGTAACAGATACTTTGGGGCTAAGAGGCAAGTCCTCTGACCTAGGAGAGTCATATCACCAGAAGAAAAAGTTGCTATGTTAAATACTTTCATCTTTGAGCTGAGAAACTTTCCCTGTTTTAATAATTTCAAAAATTTCAGTAGCTCTAGTCTATATAACTACTTATTGAACATGAAATAAGATACTAGATAAAGATACAAAGCCTCCGCCCATTTCAAAACCTGTCTCAGTCTCTTACACAGCAATACCTCTTTTCTACCCTGCACACTGCTGTGCTGCACAAGATTACTGGTGAGTGATTTAGGGATTTGTGTTGCATATGCTATTATCTATTCCTGCATGAAGGATTCTGATCCAGACCACAACAATGCCAGTTCTACCAATAACCTTCCAAGTAAAGGACCTACATGTAAATTAACCTCTATACTAGTGCTACACACGTTATCTTCTGCTGGCCTTTTTCCATTCCATCTACTCAATCAAAGCCCAAACCAAGACTCCACACCCATACTATTCACACATAGAAGACACTCAGTGCTGACTTGCTTTCCAAAGATTTATGAAGTTCATCTACCCTACCACCCCTGAGAACAAACAGGATAGCAAAACTAGCTAGTGTGCAACTTCCTAAAGAAAAGCCTAAAAAGCCAGCCCCAGTTAAGCTGAATGTTTTGCATTAGAAAGAGAACTTCTCTTGATATTCAACTTTATTCAGGACCCCAGGACCACATTCCCCACTGTTTCTACAGAAGGAAGTAGCAAATAATACTGAATGCTTAGTCATCCTGCCCCAAATTGGAAGCATCTCACTTTTCCTCTGCCATATCCAAACTTCAGCTGTCGACCAGAGGCAATGCTCTTTTGGAGACAACAATCACGACAGGCAGAACAGAGATATACTGCCCAATTCCTATCAGGCTTAGAGCCTAAAAGATTTGGGAAAATAATACCTCCCTACATTTGTATCATAAACTACCAAATGCAGGATACCTGAAGACCCAAAGCAATTTGGGCACTCCTCAAGTACAGAAAGAGTCAACTTTCAAATATAATACCCGTGTGACTCCTAACAACACGAGAGAGACTACAATACCTCACACAGCGAGACAGTACCTTTGTAGACAAAGATCAGAGAGGAGGAGGAGCAATCAAAGATGAAGGAGTCATGCTTATAGTTACAGCAGCAATGAAATGGCTTTGTAATGTGCCTAAAGGTGAGCACGAAGAGAATTCATGAATAATCAATGTTCCTACTGGACCAGAAATATGCTCAGAATGGCATGGGAGTGGGAAGTTGGAAATCAACAATTTTTTTAAATGTTTCCTCCTGGCCAAGTGAAATGAGTATAACCCTACAGCAGAAACCTAAAAATACTTTCTAGAAGGAACATGGGATGGGTTACCTTGCCACTGGTGGATTTTGCTCTTTGACCATATGTATGTCCTTATTGGGCTGTGCCACCGTAGGGGATTCCTCGCTGGGCTGTTCTGCCATGGAGCCATCTTCATTGGATTGTTCTTCATGCTTAATTGCTTTAAGTTTTAGAAGGAGACAGAAAGAAGATATTTAATTTTCCAAAGTAGTAGAAGCTTTTGTAAAGGTAAAGATTTTAATAGAAAGAAGTCCAATTTGAAAAAATACATATTTTCAAAAAAAGGAAAACCAATAACCCACTTACAAAAAACCTTAATTTGCAAGCCATCAACTAACAAGTATTTGCCAGACAACTATGCACCCTTCCTATATTAATGTAGATTGTATTAACTAGTAAATGTTATCAAGGGAAGAATAGCTCTAGCATGGAAGGAAAACAACTCCTAAAGCCAGAAAACATGTTTCATACCAATATTAGAATCCACACCAGATAGCCTAGGATAGCTTGGGTTGGCGATTGCTGACTGTAGAGGCTCTCTGTCTACTTCATATGGCACAGTGTGTTCCTCAACATCCTGGCTCTGGGAGAGTTCCAGAACCCCAAAGCCCAACTGTGATGAGGCAGGATCTAGGAACAAAACCAAAGAAATTAAGTATCATCCTACAATATCATGCACTAGGCAAGGTGCTGTTTTAGCAAAACAAGCTCAGGTTAAGTGCTTCACATCAAAGCCCTGTCCCCCCAAACTTTTCGAAATAGAATTAAGAATAAAGCACTAAAAGGGAAGGTAAAAATGTGTAATGAAGCAAAAATTGCCTATTATAAAACCTCAAAAGCACTGAATATGGTAGACTATGTCTACTTTCTGAAGGTATACATAAACCATACCCGCACACTCAACAATTCAATGTACTTCCAACCCCACAAAGCATATATCCCAAAAAATATCTGATTACAAAAGGAGGAAGAGAAGATATGCATGTGCACAAACAAGTGATTAGGAGGAAGAGTCAATATGATCTACTAATTTCTGAACACTAAATTAGGTAAGATATCTTAGACTACTAGCACATTTCTTAATGAGTATGCTCAATTTAATGACAAATCTATAACCTGATAAAAAGAAGAAATGTACTATCTGTATGCTCACATTAAAGGGACTTAGAACAATCTACTATTCTGAAAAAGGCATAGAGCTACCTTCAGCACCAAGGGAGTGTGTGGCATTATCTGGAGTATCTTCTTCCTTTTCTCCTTTCTCCTTCTCTTCTACCTCTTCTTCATTCTCTTCCCCCTCAGGAGGAGCAGGCACAAATGACAGTCCCAAAACGCTACATAGCAGAAAGACACAATCATGTGTTCCCAGATAGGTTGGGACACTTTGTTCGAAACACTCTTTGAATTTTATTGTGACTCCCCACACACCAACCACCTTTTAAGCAAATCTGACTAAGTAAAAAACCTCACCCCAATAGTGCTTCTTTTCTACAAACAAGCACCAAAAAGGTTAACAACTCAAAAACAGTGTACAACATTTAAGTAATACAATTAACCAGAGAAAAAGAACAAAACACTTGAATTTTGTCTTAAGAAAAAAAACAAAACACTTGAATTTTGTCTTAAGAAAAAGAACAAAACACTTGAATTTTATCTTTCTCTGAAAAGATATGAGAAGGGCTAGAAAAATCTTGCACTCGAATTACTGACAAGTTACAAGAAGGTGTGCATTAGATGTGCAGGGCAGGGGTTCAAAAATACATCTATTAAAGCAAACACAGTTCACAAAAATACTACAGCAAAAAATCTTAGAACAGAAACACTGAACCAGAGTATCTGAATAAAATACAGGTAAGAGGCCTATGTATTTTTTAAAAGATCCTATCACAGGTCAAAAAACATAAACAAAAGTAAGGTCCTATACATAAGGGTAACTCAGCAAGTTGGAGCCTCATCCCTATACACCACGGTTGCAGGTTCAATCCTTGATCAGGGCACATACCAAGGTCAACCAATGAATGCATAAATAAATGGAACAACAAACCGATGTTCCTCTCTCTGTTTCTTCCTCTCTCTCTAAAATCAGTAAGTAGCTCTGACTGGTGTGGCTCAGTGAATCGGGTGTCATCTCACAAACTGAGAGATTACCTGTTTGATTCCAGTGAGGACACATGTCTGGGTTGTGGGCCAGGTCCTCGGTTAGGGGCAGATGAGAGGCAACTCTGATGGATGTTTCTCTCCCTCCTTCTCCCTCTCTCCCCCTCTCTCTAACAAATAAATTCTTAAAATAAAAAATAAAATTGTGTAGAACCATGTATAGAGTTAGCCCTTTGCATCCATGGATCGCCAATCATGGATCAAAAATACTATTTTCCACCTGCAGTTGGTTGAATCCGCACATGTGAAACCAAAGGAGAGGAAAAACTGACTATATTTACTGGAAAAAAAAAACAACTCTGCATATAAGTGGACATACACACACATTTCAAACCCGTGTTGTTCAAGAGCCAAGTATAGAACATTACCTATATAACTAGGAGGACCAGATGCATGCATGACCCAGGGAAATATAGGAAAAGAAACTACAAGAGCAAATATGACAAAAAAATAGAAGAACAATGAAAGACAGCACAAATCACACATCTTGGATCTTCACCAGTCTCTTTTGGTGGTTTTTCTTCATGTCCCTGACCTCTAAATGCTAACACCCAGTGAGTCTTTGGACCTCTCTGCTCCATCTACACTCACCTCCTTAATGATCGTATTCAGATTCATGGCTCTGGATATTATCCATATGCTTATGATTCTGCAAATTAAATCTCCAGCTTAAACCTTCCCCCCGAGCTCCAGACTTGTATATCGCCAACTGCCTCCAACTGGCAATTGAAAAGGCAACTTGCCCTGGCCAGTGTGGACCAGTAGGTTGGAGTGTCATCCCATACACTGAAAAGTTGCAGATTCAATTCCCAGTCAGGGCACATGCCTAGCTAGGTTATGGGTTTAATCCCTGGTCAGGGACCCTACAAGAGGCAACAGATCAATGTTTCTCTGTTACATTGATGTTTCTCTCTCCCTCTCTCTCTAAAATCAATGAAAAAAAAAATGTCCTCAAGTGAGGAAGGAAGGAAGGGAAGGAGGAAGGAAGAGAGAGAGGGAGGGAGGGAGCGAGGGAGGGAGGGAGAGAGCAAGGGAGGGAGAGAGGAAGACAGAGGGGCAGCTCAACTTTAATTTAAAGCTGACCTCCTCCTGCAGTCCATCTCAATTAACAACTCCATTCTCCAACTCCTCAAACCAAAAACACAGGATCACTGTTACTCCTTTACTCTCATATTCAATGTCTTTAAATCCTGCTTTCAAAAACCTAGAATTTCACTGCTGTCCCATCAATTCTGTCTCACTACTGTCATATTTTGACTAAATCATTTCAATAGTCTCCTAGTTGGTCTTCCTGCTTCTGCCTTTGCTCCCCCTTCAGTCTATTTTTTTATTACTATTATTCTATTTAAATAGTTTCTTTTATTTTATTTTCACTTTCCCAGCTTTACTGAGGTATAATCAACAAAAAAAATGTGTATACCTTTCAGACTATTCTTGATCCAGCAGCCAGAGTGATCCTATTAAAATCCAACTCAGATCACGTCAATCCTCTGCTCAAAATCCTCATATGCCTCCTATCTCACTAAGAGTAACAGCCAAATTTCTCACAGTGCCCATAAGACTTTATATATTCTACTTGCCTTTACCTCAGACTCCTCCCACTCCTCTTTGCCACTGCTCAAAAATGCCAAGCACTTTCCACTTGCTGTTTTCTATGCATGAATTGCACTTATCCCAAAAAACAACAGAGATCAATTACTCACTTAAGATTTTTAATCAAATGTCAGGACAGTGAAGCATTCCCTAAGTCACGCTATCTAAACTTGTAACTCCTGTGACATTTCCTATCCTCTTTTGTTTTATTTTTCTCTTCAGTCCTATGAATGTCTAACATACTGTATCTTTTACTTATTTATCATGTTTTGCTATATCCCATAACAAGAATGTAAGCTACATTAAAGTCTAGGATTTTTATCTCTTCTGATCACTTTATATCCCCCAAATTCAATAGTGCTTGACATATAGGAAATACTCAATAACTATTTGTAGAACAATTGGGTAAATCAAAAGAGGGTTTATCTTGAAAAAATTTTTAAACCTAAAGTTATTCCATAATAAAATACTTATTACAAATTTAAAAAAGATCCTAAGAGGCTTGATTATAGACAAAAAATAGTACTGATGTTAAACTTTTCTCCACTGTCTAAAGTTGATGGAAGAAAAAAAAGGTTTAAATATATTATATGACATACAAAAGTAGCCAATAAAAGAATTAAAATAATTATCACAAAAATTGGGGAATACTGTTGTGAGTAAATCCTCATCTTTGATTATGGAACTCAATTGTCTTAATCTGATAAAACAAGAAATGACAGTATAATGGTATTACCTAGCTTTACAATAGTATTAAGAGATAGAAAGATAACTTCCCAAAGAAGTAAAAACACAAACACTTAAATAGGGTTGCCTCTGTGAAAGATGACCAAGAATAGAAAAGTACTCTTTTACCTTTCAGTATAAGCTCTTTTTAAAATAAATTATGTATTTGTATTATTCTGTTAAAAATACTTAACAGATCTCATCAAAATTAAAAACTTGTTCTGTGAGCGCTGGCCAGGTAGCTCAGTTGGTTAGAGCCAGTCCCAATATGACAAGGCTGCAGGTTCAATCTCTGGTCAGGGCACATACAAGAAGCAACCAATGAATGCATAAAGAAGTGAGACAACAAATCACTGTCGATGTCTCTGTCTGTCTCTCTTTCTCACCTTCTTTCTCTCTCAAATCAATAAATTTTTTTTTAAAAACCTGCTCTGTGGAAAACCCTCTGAAAATGATGAAAAGACAAGCTGCAGAAGTGGAAGAAAAATATTTGCAAATTACATATCCTACAAAGGACTAGTATCTAGAATATATAAAAAAACTCTCAAAACACAATAAACATCCAATCTAGTGCCTACACAGAAGATAAATTCAATAAATGGACAATGATAAGACAAAGTAAAAACTGAGTACTGCTTAGGGTATGAATTAAACATTATGGGACTAAAACTAGTGAAGTATTTTGGTTGGTGGAAAGCATGCCTACCAGTTTTGACTATACACCTAATACTGTTTGATATTTTTTCCCACTAATAAATCACATCTATGCTAAGAATGAGGAATGCTTATGTTGTTTCACATGCACAAAGATCACAGTTTGAATAATGTAGGTGTAGAAAATGTTATTACTGGCACAAAAGATATTCCAGCTACCCATACTAATACAAACTTCAAATCTCACTCCCTAATTCAAAAAATTAAGATTAATCCCTTATCCTTGGGATGAGGCAAAGGTAGAAGCAAAGGAACTGATCCATTTATAAGTTTAAATAAAGTCCTTCAAATATTAGTTTACCTGCTTGTCCTGTTTGGCTGAGGTATCTGTTCAATGACCTGACTGATGGAACCACATGTATCCAGGTGAGAAGAATCCACAGGGTCTGAAAAATACAATAGATATTAGCACAAAAGGCATTTTACTAAACTTTAATACAAATTCAGGAATGCAGACTATGCAAACCTAATCAGATACATTACAGAAAATCAACCTTTTCAGTGCCTACTATGTACCAGATACTGTGATAGACTTCCTTACACACATTCACAACCACACGTTTAAATCCATCCAGCTCTAACAAATGCACTTGAGGAAAAGGTTTGATAGCTTTAAACAGCTCACCTGCAGCTTTGCTTTCTTTCAGATGTTCATTGAACCCACTATTACTGTCTCCTTGTTCTCCAGTTGGTTGTTCAGGATTGGACACAACATCCTAGAAAATACACATACATAATATCCCTACTATATATGAAATAATTCAGAATGAGACATATGTGTTTGTGAACACAGTTGATTTCATTTTCCCAACTAACTGTATCCAAAAGGCAGTGACCTCCTAAGTACTTATGTTGGCTTGTTGGTCTAGATTAGGAAAAAAAACAAAAAATTTGTTCAATCATTTCCAAACAAGATATCACTCACCAACACAGGGTTCTCTTTGTGTGTCTGTAAATTAGGGAGGTGTCGAGAGAGCATACTGAAGTGAGAACCAGAATCATCCTCTAGAACCTGGCTTTCAGGCTGAGAATCTTCAATTATCAGACAAGGAGTGTCTTGCTGAGAGAAATCCGAATCCAACTGACTTCCAGTAGGGTCCATCTGCTCCCCTAGAATGGAATAACAAAAGATTAGTTCTGTGTAACCTACTAGGCTTCCTCACGTAGTTTGAGCTTAAATAATGGGGCGGGAAGTACAGGAAGGAACTGGGGAAATGGGACCACTCTAGTGCTCTTTCAATTAGAACATTACTATATTTATGATCTTGCAAAGCACTTTCCTACCATACCTCCCAAGACGGGATCCCTCAATATTTACAATCAGCCTGCCTATCCTTCTCTCCCCTTCCTTTTCCATCACCTTCCCGTTGACACCCTTTCCCCTCCTTCCTAACCTCTTCTCTTCCCGCCCCTTTTCCATCCCCCACAACTCTCCTCGTCCTTCTGGTGACTCCACCACCCCAAAAGGCTGCTTTACAATCTGTTTGCCAAAACCCCCACAGCACTTCACGCTTTCTCACGACCACTCAGCCTTCCTAGCTAATGCTTCCCCACCCCCTCCTCAGGGCCCTCCAACCCTTTCCCAGTTACCGCCGCCATGCTTGCCACCCCGCCCCCTCCGGTCAGCCATTCCTTCAGACCCAAACCCCAAGCCTTCAGAGCTGACCGCGCCCCCATTTTTCTCCAAATAGTACCAGGCATCCCGGCGGGAGGTCCCTCGCGCTTGAGTTAGAGATCTCTGCACGCTCCCCAGGTCCCTCCAGCTCTATCCCCAGATGGACACTGTCGCCACCGCCGCCACCGGCCTCGAACTCCTCCTGTTCCCGCGCGTCACGCAGTATTGGCTCGCCCATTCGCTGCTGTTGCCTGCTACTCAAAAAATGCTGTAGATGATTGGTGGACGGGCACAGTGCCCCGCCCCACGTAAGAAAAAGGAACACGGCGGCGTGTTTCCATGACAGCATGGACGTTGCCGGCCCTCCCCCTTGTAGAGCCCTAGAATGACAGTATCCTTGAACCAAGGGACCTTGAGAGGGAGTGAAATATATTCCCTAGCCTCCAGGACAATTGCTTGCCCCACTACTCAGATAAGGAAAAAGGCCTGTTTTTTAATCATTCATGCACTTAATGCCCTTTCTCTCACCCTCTTCAGTGTAAAAGAAGAGGATTTCCCAGCTTTCTAATAAAAGGGCGAAGAGGAGGATCCGGGGAGGTGAGGACTTTAGAGCTGATGCAACTGGAGAGAGAAGACTCTTTGGGGTTTACCTGTGTCACTGAGGATCACTTTTTTTGGCCTCTACCTGAATTCAAAAGCCTCACATTACATCTCTGCCAGTTCTTCCTCCCCGCGCCCCCCCACCCACCCTTTACATTGTCTGAGGACCCCAGTAACCTTTTTTTTTTTCCATTGCCCTTTTTTTATCTGGAACTTAGTTCAAGCTTCACATTTGTTTATCGTTGCCCTATCTTTTATAGAATTGTAGTCTACGGAGACTATAGCCCCAGACATTTTTTGCACCTTCCGTCGAGAGAATTGAGCATAGTGACTCTCAAGACACTGGTGAAGAGAACAGCTGCTGCCCCTTTAACTAGATGACCTCAAAGATCCCTCCAAGTCCTGAGAGTCTATTATCCTAATTATGGTGCTAGGGTCTTACAGAAGGTGTGGCAGCTGTGACTTGTATTAATGAACTAGGCCCTATGAGGAATATGGGGGGTTTTTTTGTTGGTTTTGGGTTGTTTTTTTTTTTAAGTGGTTGGATCTGGTATGGATTTCTAGCCAGAGCAGTTGTCAATAAGAAAAGCATCTAGCACACAGCTAAGCATATACGTAGTATGCATTCAATAGGCAGTAGTTTTCTCTCTCTACCCCAGGCCCAGAATGAGTTAGGCACAGCGCATGCAACCAGGATTTACCCATCCTATAAAGTCCAATTCAGCATTCAAAATAAGCTAAGCTAAAGTAGAACTTCCTACCAACCAATCTTCTCCCTGCTGTTATAAATTAGTGATCATATTTGCCAAACCAAAAATCAAAGGATGCCACCTGAATATGTTACAGTTATTTATTTCAAAAGACAGACTCTTTGAAATAAAACTTTCCTGAAAAACCTAGAATATATTTGTAGAATAACTAGAATATATTTAGGGTCCCTGGAATGTTTTATTAGTGGAGCAAAAATGGAATGGAACACACAGAGACTCATGCCACTTCCTCATCTTGAAATGTGTAATTTATAATTGACACTTCTTCCTCCACTCTTAATGCTGCAGAAGTGACCAAATAAGTCTAATCCTAAAAGTACCAGATCTGGCTACTATTAACTAACTTCTCTAGGCAGACAAAGTGAATTCATCTGCTCAATTTGAGAGGGCACAAACAACTGGCTTCTGTTTTGGGGCAAATCTTGACCTTGATTATGGGCCTCCCCCTTTATGGGAATAAAAATCCCTCAAAGGTCACTATATTTTTGCTCTCCTCTGTCCCACTATTGCATTTCCCCTCCCCAAACAAAGCATAAATAAATAGACCTTCCTAATTAATTGACAAAAAACTGTGTTTGTCAAAACTTGTAAATAATACACTAAAAACGATAAATTAAACCTCAATAAACAAAAATAAATAGATAAATAAAGAAATGAGCCTGAGCCATTCCCCATTACCGAATAAAACAAGAGCCTTAAAAAACTGTGAAGAAAAATTGTGAATTGCTTATTAGGTAGTATGACAATTTAATTAATCATTAAATTACCCATACAGATCAAAATGCAGCCAGATGGTTGCCCATTGAGCTGCAACTGATTGCAGTTACATGAGCTAATGGCCTCGATTGACTCTTAAGACTGCAAAGAACCATCAGCACATCTACCTATGTATATAGGTGCATCTTTATCTAAGACCTCAGACAAAGAAATCTAATCTACCTCTGAAGTACTCCCAGACAAGAAAATGCCATCTAAAGTTTAAAAAACCTCATTGCCAGAAATTTTTCTTCTAATCAGCTAACTTAAAACCTTTATTCCAGAGCTTAAAGCCATTTTCTCTCACATTGTCTTTAATTCCCATAAGGTTAGGATTATCACATCTGGTCAAAATACTATAATGTAGTTCAACCAATCAAACAATAAACATATATGCTATATAATTAGTCATTTTCTGAGGTCTCCTCACAGACTTCTCTAAGCAAACAGTTTAATTCTACCTCACAGAAACTATTCATCAACATTTAAATTTGCTTCATGGTTTTCCTCTGGAAACTGGTAATTTAGGAACTTAGTGGCAGAGAACTTTACTGAGGACATGACAAGCACTAAATTTAATAATAAGCTAGTATATATCCTTTTTTAAAGTATTACATACTGACTTATAGTTAACATACAATTGATTCTGACCTCTTGCACTTGAACCTATACAATCATGTCCAGTCATACACCAATGATATAATTAAAGACATGTATTAAAGTTTTGTTATAGGTATCATGCTCTGCTTTAGTTTTTTTTATTGTCAGTCTATTACAGTTGTCCGAATTCTTCCCCCATTGTTCTGCACTGCCTTGCCCACCCTGCCCCCACTCCAACAGTCAGTCCCCACCCTGTTGTCCACATGCACGGGTCATTTATACATGTTCCTTCACAAGACCCTTCCCCATATTTCCCCCCTTATCCCCCTCCCCCCACTCTGGTCACTGTCAGTCTATTCCTTATTTCCATTCCTCTGGTTCATTTTTGCTCTTTTGTTTATTTTGTTTATTATGTCCCTCTTATAGGTGAGATCATATGGTATTTGTCTTTCATTGCCTAGTTTATTTAACTTAGCATAATACTCTCCAGTTCAATCCATGCTGTCGCAAAAGGTAGGAGTCCATTCTTTCTGTTGCATAGTATTCCATTGTATAAATGCACCACAGTTTTTTGATCCACTCATTTACTGATGGGCACTTAGGCTGTTTCCAGCACTTGGCTATTGTAAATAACACTGCTAGGAACATAGGGGTGCATATGTTCTTCTGAATTAGTGATTCAGGATTCTTAGGGAATAATCCCAGCAGTGGAATCGCTGGATCAAAAGGCAGTTTCATTTTTAGTTTTCTGAGGAAACTCCATACTCTTTTCCACAGTGGCTGCATCAGTCTACATTCCCACTAACAGTGTGTTGAGGTCCACCCTGCCTGGTCTTAGGAATCTGTAAGATGGCTGAGTAAGAGGCCTCTGTACCAGGAGACCCTAAGGAGACAAAAAACTTATTTTCCTGGCATGAACGCTGCCTGTTCTAATGTCTGGCTCCCTTTGCATGATCAGCAGTCAATGACGGGTAACAATTCTCTAGGAAAGAGAATGAATCTAAGACAGACTCGATCACGTGGGAATGCCCTAAGGGAAGAGATTCAGGGGGCTGTGAAAATGATGGGGCGATCGACGTCGACCCCTGCCCCCTCGGCTTTGCCAAAGCCTGAGTCCTTGAGAAATCCAAGTCTCCCAGCTGTCTTTGTTTCCTCTGCCCAACTCAGACCTATGGAAATAACAGGGATGGTGCAGTCCAGACCAGAGTCGGCAGACCCCCGGGGTAATCAGGCCTGAGACATAGAATATGAAAGACCCTGTGAGATCTGCTTGCTGGAGGATGCTCTTTAATTAAAATATGAAGGCACAGGGAGGAAACAAACCTACGTTTTTAAGTCCTGTAGTCTTTTTAAATGGTAAAACCCAAAAATCTCTGGCTTAGGATCCCAGCAGGAGATCTGCCAGCACCTTTCAAAGCTAACTACTTGTAATTTGCAAACGGTATTTATATCCAAGAATAAAAGCCTGCTTGGGTGAAAAGACGAGGCACTCTCCGCTAGAGAGAGTGGCCGTTTTCATCTCTATTTCCCCACAGAACCTGGTTGTCTCTGTGTATGTTTTTCTCATGTTTCAGCAAGGCATCCACAGCAGGGATGGATACTGCTGGCCTGTATCTGCCACAACAGTGCACTAGGGTTCCCTTCTCTTCACATCCTTGTCAGAACTTGCTGTTTGTTGATTTATGTTATGACAGCCATTCTGACCAGTGTGAGGTAGTATCTCATTGTGGTTTTAATTTGCTTCTCTCTGATGGCTAGTGATGTTGAGCATCCTTTCATATGTCTATGGGCCCTCTCTGTATGTCCTCCTTGGAGAAGTGTCTGTTCAGGTCCTTTGCCCATTTTTTAAGTGGATTGTTTGTCTTCCTGGTGTTGAGTCATATGAGTTCTTTATATATTTTGGGGCTCAAACCCTTGTCCAAGGTATCATTGGCAGGAACCAACCCATACAGTTAGTTCCCCTTTCATTTTGATGATGTTTTCTTTAGCCATGCAGCAGCTTTTTAATTTGATATAGTCCAAGTTGTTTATGCTTTCCTTTATTTCCCTTCCCCTAGGAGATATATCAACAAAAATGTTGCTGTGTGGGATATCTGAAATTTTATTGCCCATATTTTCCTTTAGGACTTTCATGGTGTCTAAGCTTATATTTAAGTCTTTTATCCATCTTGAGTTAATTCTGGTGTATGGTATTAAGTTGGTGTCCTAGTTTCATTTTTTTTTTTTGCATGTACCTGTCCAGATCTCCCAATACCATTTATCGAAGAGGCTATTTTTACTCCATTTTATGCCCCCGCCCCCTTTGTCAAATATTAATTGACCACAGAGACATGGGTTTATTTCTGGGTTCTCTATTCTGTTCCATTGATCTATGTGTCTGCTCTCATGCCAGTACCAGACTGTTGTGATTATAGTGGCCTTATAATATATAGGGTCTGGCAGAAGTAATGCCTGCTTGAGTGTGGTTGGTAGGGTACATGAATCTTGCACAAGATGGACAGTGATTTGAACATTTTACCTAAAAAGTC